ACACACACACACACACACTCACTCCTACTCCCAATATCAAAAGCACAGATCCAGATCTGGGACACGAAACCTCGCCGCCCGATGGCCAAAGACTCTCGCAGCTCACACGCCCCGCTCCGGCCAGCGGTGCTGCACGCAATTCCTGGGCACTAGTCAGCTCGCTTCCATCCATGCGCTGGATAGACAGCGACAAGTCCACCTGGGGGCTGCTTGTTGAGATCACTTGTTATCCGTAGAGGTGCTAGGAATCTAGGAGTTATGGCGATTAGAAATCGAACATGCACCTCGAAGCCAACGCCCTCGCAGCCAATGCCCGTCAAATGTAATGCCAAGGCTACCGGAGGAGTGTCGGGTGTGCCGCAGGTTCCCATTCCGAGGGGGTACCTTCCGAGCTTACGGCTGTTGGGCTTCTGGGGTTTGCAGTTTTTCGGGTCCGGACAGGGGTTCGGCACCCGAATTGAGCAAGCAAGGCAGCTTGTTGGACTGTGCCACAAAAGGTGCGAAAAGCACTTGTAAATCGCTCCGTCTTTGTAAAGAAACTAAGACTTTTCCCGAAGCTCAGCGCAGGTGCACCATGAAGGTGAACTGGACTTCCGGAAACCCTGGCAAATGAAAGTGTTCGCACTCACAGCCGCCACGCGGCCTTCCTGGTGTGGCGTAGAAACTCCTCATGACCCCTATGTTGTGCAAGCGCCACTCAGCGGCGCCCTCCACGCTGCGCGCAGTTGAGAGGTCCACTCTCCTGCATTTCGAACTTTCCAACTCCATGGCTCTGCTCAGAAAAACCACATGCAATATGTATGTGTGCATCTATATTTAATATACATACTACGCCTTTCTTCCTTCAGAACTGCTCGGATTCTTGACAATGTTGAACTTGCTTTACCTGTACGGAAAGCTGTCGAGTTTTTGCCCTGCAGGTCGAGAGTTGGCTTGGGTTCTGGCTGTGATATGTGTCCGGAATTTGCAGTTCTAGGATGTGGAGTCAGTGGAGTCCCATCCAAGGCTGCACTGGACCTCAGTCCATAGCAATAGCAGAGTTATATAAATATATATATATATATGTGTGTGTGTATGTATAATATTGTATGTGTATATATATATATAAATGTGTTTTGTGTGCGTGGGTGTATGCATGTATGTATGTATGTATGTATGTATGTATGTATATATATATATATATATGTTGTAGTAGTATAGTATAATGTATCATAGTATAGTATAGTATTGGTACTAGTATTAGAATTAGAATTAGTATTAGTATAGTATAGTATTCGTATAGCAGACTATAGAAAGGAAAGTATAGTATAGCATAGAACTTCGAGCCCTCGAGGCATTAGGCTCGAGCACTGAATTTTGCGGGGCCAAGTTTCTCTCACTTTGGGACTTGTGCCTTGTGTAAAATCTGATGGAAGTTACCACGAAAAGGAAAGCTGAAGGGTGAGAGTCTTTCTTATTAAGCCTTCAGTCCACAGGCCTCAGGCAAAATCTTCGGATGCGTCGTGCGAATGAGACTCTCATGGTGACCTGAGCCTGAGCATGCACCACATCGCGTGTGTGCTGGTTTCCCCGCTCTTTGGAATCCTTGGGCCGTTGACCCCGCGCTCAACATCACTCAACCCCAAACAAACCCAGCTGAAGCCAATGTCGATCCAACCGTGCGCATCTTTTCTGGGCTTGCCTCGGTTCGAGAGGTCGCAACACAGTCTGGGGAGCGCCGACGCAGCCAGGGTCTCACCAAGCCGGGACGTGCTGGCCAGCGCCTTTTGGGACAAATTTGGTCCAGGCCTGGTGGCTACAGTACGTTCGCCATGCTTGGCAGCAAACTGATGGGTTTTAGTACGATATGTGGGGTTTGGTAATCTGGGTGTGCGTCGGCTCCACACTTTGATTTTTCAAGTGAACTCCTCCAGATTGTAACTTTCAGCGAACACTTCGAGCTACATCTAAATTTCATCAAGTACCTTCGCTGCTCGTCCCTATGTGACCAACGTATTCCGGACTCCAGGCTGATTGCCGTCCGTGCTCATGTCAACCTAAATCGACAGCTGGAGTTAGTGCTCTTTAAAGCTTTGCCGTAGCAGCATTGTCCTTCCGTAATGCTGGTTCAATGATGATGACTGTGCGTATCCACCAACCCAACAGGCGATTATGCGCCAACAGCGAAACACTCAACAGCAAACTTATGCGGGCGTATGGACACACCACAACGGAACCAGCCACTCTGATGTTTGCTCTCGGCACTTTGCGGGCAGAGGCTGCTGCAAGCCTGGGCCATGCGACCAAACCCCCAATGCCTGACTGTGGAAAGGCTTAGTGCTGTGACCTCGCACGAATAGAAGCAACGCTCCTTGCCTTGTGGAGCCCCGTATCCGTATCCATAGCCGTAGCCCTGTTGGGTGGCAGTTGGGGCTGGCCCAGGAGCGGATCCGTAGTATGCCTGTTGCATGACAGGGTTTGAGGGAACTGCAGTCTGGCGGGCCGTCAAGATACTTTGCGAGGTGACATTCTTCCAGTAAGCTGCCGAAAGGTTCGGGGTTGAGTTCTGTGGATTTACAAGTTCGGATTTTTGGAGTTCGGGATGTTGAAGGTTAAGATGGGTGGATAGTGGCAACTACTACCGAAGGCCCCTTTCTCATGTTGTAGATACTCGTTACTACAGCTACTTCGCTCAGAGACCCAACCAAGCATTGGAGTTTAGGGTCTGAGTCAAGGGCATGCATACGGGCGTCGGAGGTTGGAGGTAGTACAGTCCTGGAGATGTTTGCCCACGTGTCGTTAGCCTTCTAAATGCTCCTGGCATGACTGAAATGCTTTCTCCCCTGGAGACCTCCGGGCAGGGAAGCCCTGCGTGATGGTAATAGCCTAATAGCGGTTTCACAGTTCCTCTGAACTCATAAACTTGTGTGAGTAGGCTGAGTAATCCCTTCCCGCATATAGTAAACACCACCCTAATAATAAAAACACTTTGGGGCCAATCCTCCAAAATCATCCCTGCGCTTTCAAAGCTAATTTGCAAGGAGCAATACGGTTGATGGACAAAATCCTGCATGACCTTAAGGACCCTAAACTATGGGAATTATGGTATATTCCTTATAGTGGGTAGTGCAGGATTTTGTCCATCAGCCGTACTTAAAAGGCAAGAGCAGGAGCAAGAGCTTCAGCAATAGTAAGAGCAAAAGGAAGCGCAGGAGCGAGATCAAGAGATGCAGCAGGAGCAGGAGCAAGAGCCAGAGCAGGAGCAAGATCCCTCAAAAGTGACAGTAGGGATAAACACACCCCCTAATAATAAAAAGACTTTCCGAGTTTTTTATTGGGCGGGAGGGGGTGGAGCGGCCCCCCGTTTAATATTAGAGGGAAGGGATGATTAAACTCATCATGTGAAGAAGAGGATGAGCTTCGGTGGCTCCTTCACACTAGTAAGCGTTGTTGTCGCGGTAGCCTCATCGCCAGTCATCCCCGTTTCTATGAAACCCCTCAAGGTTTCAGGATCCTGAAGTTTTCAAGACGGCGACGATCTACAAATCCCCACAAGCGGTTCGGACGGGCCACACTTCACATGTAGCCGCCATGCCCTGAAGAAGATCAAACAAGCAAGGCCGTGTATAGTCAAGATTCTACACGGTCCCAGGAATCCAGAACTGCACATGAAATAATGGTGCAGTCTTCTAGAGACCCAACACTCATCATACGTGTTAGAAACACGCTCCCTCAGGGGTGTGTAAGAAATCGCCAAATAAGGGGGCGGGGTGACAATATATGACGAGCCGGAATCGCCAAACGAGGGGGCGTGCTTAGGATATATGATGTCCCGGAATCGCCAAATGAGGGGGCGTGTTCAAGATATATGGTGCACCGGAATTGCCAAATGATTGGTTGTGTTTACGGTTTATTTTTCGTGATTTCTTCCTCATTTCTCCTGCCTGTGTTTGTCTTCCTTTCGGTCTTTTGTCCTCGGTTTCTTCCTTTCTTTCTGCCTCTTTCTTTCTTTCGTTATTCCTTTCTTTCTTCCTTCCTTCCTTTCTTGCGTTCGTTCCTTCCTTTCTTTCTTGTCTTTCTATCGTTCTTCCTTTCTTACGTGCCTTGCTCTGCTTCGTCCCTAAGACCCAACCACAACCAGAAAAACAAAAAAAAAAAAACAATTAACCATAACACTTGACCAACAAATAATAAAATACGGTCCCCCTCGGTGACTACGGAAGTCTGTGTTTAAGCAGCGTCTTGGGTCGCAAGAGTGCACAGTAGAGGTGCTCTTACTCCGTGGAGAAGCCCTGTGGATTGTCACGTGTCCCTGGGAAACGCCACATGACCGTCTATACCATGTACCAACATCCAAAGTACGAAGTCGACAAAGACAGCAGTAGTCAGGTTCTCCTGCGCTCCAGCAGGAGGCTGGCCAGGAAGGGCGGCTAGATGTGCCTGAAGCTCATGTTGGCGGCGTCCGGGCTTTCACGGGGCGCCGCAAAGAGTTTAAGCCGTCGAGCTTCAGTAGTGGATTTCAATGTTTCTCTTCCTGGCGGGACATCGGCCATGTAGCCTCAAGCCGCCTACTCAGGCATGCAGAGCTTAACTGTGCGAGCCCACCTAATTGACAGATCCCACTCCGAGGCATATCCAGGCCCATGCGGGGCAAGTCCCCAAGCCTCCCTAGAGTTTCGTTTGGTTTCAATTCTGTCCGGATTGATTTCTGCAGTGCTGCTGATGCTTGCTGCGCTGCTACACGCAATTCTAGTGGACTTCCACTTCCAGCGACAGTGTTTCTGTAGATCTTGGGCCTGGGGTTCAGGCCTTAGGGCTTTGAGCTGGCATCATTCAAAAGCTCCCACAGCGTAAGTGGCGATGCCTGCTCTTTGGCGAACTTCTGAAGCATTCGCTCGTCCTGCACCGATACGTCTCTGACACAGGGTGTGCCGTTGATGTGTTCTACACTGGAGCCGGTGCTTGCAAATGCTGCCTGTCGAACTTCCAGGCTTTGCGACGACCGCAGTTTGATGGCTGCACGAACCTCTGTGCCATGCACGTCCGCCTCAAGCACCTCGAACCCCGAACCACCTGAACCCCAACGGACACAACCCTAAACTGCAAGGCTTCTGAACAAGCCGAAAGCCTCAGACCCAGGAACCTTCCAATTCATGGTTTGAAAGCTTGTCCTCGAGGGCCTAACGCCGCAGAAGAAAGCACATGTGTTTGAGTCAAGAATTGGATTGGGCAAGTGGAACCTTAACCGGGGTCTGGTCTGAGGATTCCACCATTTCGGCACTCACACTCGGACAATCCAGGCGAAGCCTGTGGGTACGATCTCCATGTAGGGCTTTCTAAATCACCGGTGTTAGCTTCACAATAAACCACAGGCGGGCTACATGTGAGCTCAAGCGGACAAGGCATGCCAGCTGGCGACGTAAGACAAACGCCTATCCAGTATCCAGACTTTCAAGGCGAAATCTGAGGCTCAGGCTCAGGGTGTTTTGAAGTTCTGAAACTCTTGGTTGCCAGGGTGGGAATGGCTGAGTTCGGGGTTGAAGGTCGCGTGATGCAAGCTAGCTTACCTTAAGGCTTCATTAAGGCCTTTCAGGGATCCGGGGGGTCCTCCGTCATCTCATCCCCCAGCGGCATGAAGGAAAACAGCACAGCGGACCACGACTGCAACAAGATGCCCGCGACCATCAAACAGTACCCGTAGCTCACCTTAGTTGTGTTCGCGCCCGGATCCTCTTCATTTCAGGACGTGCAGCCATGCTGTTAAGGATAATCGCGCCTCCGTGTGTTGGAGGACACTCTTTCCTCGGGTTGAATCTTAAGAGCATCACAAGATTTGACGAAACACAAACAGCGGCGGCGTTAGCAGTTAGCACAAAATTTTGCCGTCGTAACAAACAGGGACAAAAACACAACTGCAGTTGAACAAGAACGGAGCACTAATGACCCAGTAATTACAGTTTTCAATCGATTCAACGTCAGAGTCAGAAAAATTCAAGCCCACTACCGTCACTCCCGATTAAAACACCAACTGCCTGACGATCCTGACCAGCCAACACCACAACACAACCAGCTGTTGCAAAGTACAACGAATGGGCTAAGAGCAGCAGGCACAGCAATTTTCCGCAGCACCTGGCTGGTTCATCTGCTCCTGCTGCTGCTGCTGCTGCTACTGGTGCTGGTGTTGGTGCTGGGCGGTGCTGGTGCGGCGCTGGTGCGGTTGCTGTTGTTGTTGCGGTCGACCTTATCAAAGATCTGAATCTTCTACCGGCCACCTGGCTCAGCCGCCATGGTGAAGATTTCTACTTAAATCCCAGTACGACCAAACTTCCTCGTCGAAAATGGGACCGTTGTTGCAACAGTGCGAACGCTACACAACCTCTGAAGAACCGGCGAACTCTTGACTTTTCTTGGAAAGCTTGCCACATCCTGCAGTAAAACCATGCAGTACTAAGACTTGCCACCCGCAGAAACAACAACGCTACGAACGATAGCAGCATAAATAAAGCTTGAGCCCTGACCCGTGGTACATTGGTCCACCGACCCCACGTGCATGCATGCTGCATGTTGAAACGACGACCATAGTACAAGTATCACTTCGATATGGCTGCTGGTGACAGTCAGTACTCCTTCAAACGTTCCTGACAGTTTGTGGCTAGTGATAGTGCGGATTCCTTGTAACCCACCCTCTAATTGAAAGTTTTTGGTTATCCCCTGCAGTGCCTGAAGTCAAGTTCGAGAGGCTCCAACTCCCGAGCTAGCCAGACCTGACAAGTAGACATGAAGTCTTGGAAGCTCATGGTGATAGCGCGTTGGCTTCAAACCAGACGGGCTGCTGATATGGGGAAAGGAAGTCCGGGCTTCGCCACGTTGAACATCGGGAAGTTTGGGCAGCGGGGAACTTCAGAATTGAGCTTGGGGTGGGTTCGGTTCGTGCTGCCAGCCGGGTTTCGGAGTGGGGTTGTCATTGCAAGTAAATCGCCCCCATCAATCATGCGAGCACAATATCCTTTGCATAGAGGGACCGTAGCGCTGCCACTAGGCAATACTAGCCAATAACCCTCAGCCCGTCTAGACATCCTACACCGGAACGAAGCCTGCCATGTGACATGTGCCTCCCAAACTTCAAGCCCGGACCCTGAACTCCCAAGCCACTCTTGCAGGTGAAAGTCAACAAACACAACCTTCACATCGACATGTATTGTGCACATACTTACAGCTTGGACAACGCATATCATGAAGATACCGATGTTAGATATATAGGGAAAGCAAGAATATCGATGTGCCACAGGCCCCAAGGAGGACAAGGAACCGTGTTACAACAAAGGTGTGCTTGGATTTCCCGCTGACGGCACTCCTTGTATAGAGTGCAATTGCGATCGGCAAGATGACACCGGGAGGTGCAACGGATGTTGCCATCAACCCAACACGACGTTGTTGCTTCGAGGGGAGATCTCATGAAAGGAGCGTGCTTTGCTGCCGGGCTCTTCTTGCGCAAAAAAGCAACGCACCGTTGCTCAGGTAGCCTATGTGTTGCAGCTGCCGCAGGGGATGATAATCACACTGGGCTTGGTCGCATTTTGTCGCCTTGTAAAAACTTGGAACAAGACAGCCTGCGGCCACACGGCTGTGCCGAGAGTTCAACCAGTATCAAGCCGTGCCGTTTGATCCAGTGTGTTGGGACCCGCTTGCGCGGCCGAACAGGGACGTGCAAAGTTCAGTTTTTGACAAGGTGGGTCAAAACCAGCAGCAGACATGTTGAGGCCGCCGACGCGATTTAGACCTCTAGTGGATGCCGCACTTCGTGAAATCTCTGGTCCGGGACCCGTCACTTGTCATGCCTCCATCAACATCATGGAAAACGGGAAACCCTCCTTGGCAAACGTGCTTCTAACTCGAATTAATCGAAAACTCCCTCCATCACAACCTTGATCTAAGCTTTCGGAGATTGAACAAAGCCTGCCCCTTCTACTGTACGGCACAGACAAGGGCGAGGTGCTTCGCGCTCTGGACATTCCACATAGACAGGTAGACAGACAGAAGACCAGCAGGCAGACAGACATAAACAGAGACAGACCCACGCACACAGACACACACACCCACACAGACGGATGCAAGACAGACAAACAAACACCCCCTGCCTGCCTGACTGACGACGCACTTGTTCATATATTTGCGACGATCTAGCTCTACATACGTAGTACAGAAAACACGCCTACACATGAACGTGTCAATGGCACACGAATGTTTACGTTTGTTTGTATGTCCTTTTTCAAAGCGCAGTTATCAGCATTAGATAAGCTTTGTTTCTTATGCTCGTCTGTCAGTCAGCCCTCCAACATTCTGCCAAGCCGGCTATTGGAGCTCCCAATGTGCTCCATCGCTGGCAAGGCAAAGAAACTCCAGGCGAGAAAGACCAGGAAAAGAATGCCCCTGAGGGAGCAGCTTGGGGTATGGTTTGGGTCTGAGGCCACCTTGGGCGTTGGAAGGTAGCATAGCCGGAAGACCGTACAGGAGCTCAGAGATTCAACGGTGTCCTAGCTTCACAACAGGTCCAATGGTCAACTGCCAAGTCGTAGCTGGAAGCACCGTGAGCAGTGGCATCTGGCTTCAAGGGGTCGCTTGTTGAGCAAGATTTAGCTTCCCTTCGCGTCACATCGTCTCAATGCCAGAGGGGCCTCATACCTTACCTTGCTAAAGGTCAAGCTGTGAAACTTCCCAGGGCCTCCAACACATTCAGTTCTGCCCATCGGCTGCGTGCATGAAACTAGTATAGGTTGAAAGCCAGAAGGGCTTTTCACATGTAGGGTAGGTATAGCATATAAGAATCAAGCCGGTAGGCTTAGACATGCAGCACGATGTGACAATGAACGTCTTCGATCGAAGAGTGTTGCAGGGAAATGTAGGCAAATGTCCAGGTTTATTCTCTTTGATGTGGACCCGAACGATAGTACTAAGTACCAAGCTCCACAACGTCACAAGCCAAACCTCACACAAGCGAGGGACAAACACGCTGTCCCGCAACACAAGCACGACTCTACGACCCGGAAACCTGACAAATGTCAGCCCCATAACCATCCGCAAGTAAGCATGATGTAGGAATGCGGGACACATTGGGCTCCAGTCATAATCAGTCATATACGTTGCGCATCCCGACAAGGACTACTATAATCGGCGAGTACCATTGCCGGGTGACGTGGCGATGGCATGAAGGCAGAAAGCCCACTGCCGGTACTCGGGCTTGTGCTTCGAGCTATTGAAATACCTTGCACTACGCGCTGAATAGGGCTAAGGCTAAGGACGCCTTTACAGGTCCAGGAGCTTAGAACTCTGGGCCTCAGGGTCCTGGGGCTATAGACACAGGCGTTGCTCATGTTCGGGGCTTTCATGGACTTGACTTGACTGAGCAGAACTTTCCGAACTCACAGCAACTTGGTACGGTTTGAACACGCATATCCCTGCCTCGACTCATACAAGCTGTTTCTTCGTTAGGTTGCAGCTGTTAGCCCCTTCATACGCTGTGGGGTCCAGGCATCACTTCGTTTCAATCAACGTGAGTTCAGACAAACCACAACGACCCCAAAGCTTTGGTTTAAGGAGACGGCCAGCAGGAAAGAACATTTGGGCGGCAGAATGACTACTTAGGAGCAGAAACAAGCTGAATCCCTTATAGAACTAAAGAGAATGCCCCACAGAACCGGGCAGTGAAAGTCTCTCAACTCCTCGAGACTCGGCGGTGATACCCTGCATTCATGGAGTCATGACGACCCTTTAGCCTGCTTTGGTCGGGTTCGCGCCATCGGGCAAATGCCAAGTGTGGGGCATGTAGTTTGCGACCCGGTCCATTGCTTAACGGGGGGGGTGCACAGGGTGATGCACAAGCCTCAAATCTCAAGCCCGCTCTTCTGCACGTTGTTGATATACCGCAGCACTCACGAGCTTTTTCAGGGAGCAAATTTCTGCAGATCCTGCCGCTTCGGGAGGGGAAGATGTAGGACTTATGACTTCGGAACGGGAGTGACAGCCGAAGCACTAGAGTGCTAAGGCCGATAATCGGCACAAAGCATGTTGCAACCTTGAGAAAGCCATGAAAGCAAAGGAGCTGGAGGAGCATTCCGATGCCGGCACCAAGCAGAATGAAGTTCAAGACTATTGCCATGGCGCCTGAACTCAAACGGGTATTAGGGCCAGGTAAGCAGCGAAAAACACATGCCAACCTGTAGACACCGTAGACAGCTCAACCCGGTGCTACCCACCGGCTCATAGCCATAGCCTATCCAGACAACCCGGATGCCTTGGAGTGCTTGAATCCCGAGCCTAAGCCCGCACTCCCAATCAAAAAGAAAACCGAGACATCCCTCCAGATTCACCTCTGCAACGTGTTCCCGGCAAGCGCACGAATAACTCGAAACACAGCAAGACTCGAAGGCGCATGCTGAAGGACCGCGTGCTCGGGGCCTGGTGGTCAAGCCTGAATCATCCGACCGCACCAAGTAAACCTCCAGGCATTCCGACCTAGTCCACTGAAGCCATGAAGCCTTCGCCCTCGAGAGTTCTCGAATACACCGGCAACTCGACACCCCTCTCCGCTACAGAACATAAGAAGCTCTGAGCCGTGGCTCAGATCAGGCCAAAAATGTAGGCCAAGTTGAAGCCATGACACGGGGCCGTCCTGAATACGGGTTCGCAATAGAATCTTAAGCGAAGGCGGTGATTCGAGGCCACAAGAACTCTGATGTTTGCATCTGTCTCTCTCCTACCAGCCACTGCGGCATAGGAAGTGTCTGAAGCCTTTCCGGGCCTGTGGCTCACCTGTCTGTCTCTCCCTCTCTCCCCACATCTCTCTCTGTCTCTCTTTCGTTGCCACACGGTGCAGCATGCACTATTACCGATGCTGCTTGTGTTTATTTCATTTTCATTTGCGTTTGGGCTTTGGGAGTTTGAGGGCTTCTGGCTGTAGGTCCCGCGGGCTACGGTTCTGGGTTCTGGATGTAGGGCTTTTTTGGTAGACGCGAATCGCCCGAGCTGTTCACCGAACGGCTGTTAGGAGGTGCTAAGAGATGTAAGCCTGTGAGCATGTTTTCGGAGCTGTTTCCTGCATGTTCATGCCCCGCTCAATGGGACCTGGACCTGAACCTTCCGTGGGGGCAGGTATGGCCCGATCCATGCGAACGCAGGACTTGCAGGACGGGGTCAGAAAGAAGCACGGAGCAATGCAAGACTCTTAAGGACCCTTGCGGTGGGTCTTTTGTGCCCAGGTGCGGTTGTTAACATTTGGGATGGGAGCTGTTGTACACCACATTCTCAAACCCAGCCTGCATGAGGATGCGGAGCTTCAAGTCTCTTGGGCTTTCATGGCTTTCCGGGCCGGGTCTGAGTCTGAAGGATTCTGCTCCACGGCCGCAGATGTCTAAATCCTCGATACAAACCAAAGCCTTCAGCCCGTCAACCTTTCTTCACCGCAGCCAAGGATCACTCCGAGGTTAGTGAGGACGGGCGCGCACCTACGAATGCTTGTTTTATGCCATAAGCACGCGTTTTAGCCGACTTTAGCCTTTGATTCGTCTCGTGAGTGAGTAAAGCCGGTTACACTCCAACATCTCCATCATACCAACCTCCAAAGAAAGCACGTGGGCTGTGCCCTGGTTCAAGCTTTAGGTCCAGGGTTTCGGAGGTTGGCCACCCCGAACATGAATGAGCGATCTTGATCTAACTAAATATTCATCCAGGACGTGAAACTGCAAGGTAAGTGGGATCTGAGCGATCTGAGGCCCCAGCCCAATAGCTTCGAACTCTAAACTCTGCCCTTATAGTCTTGATCAGCCCCAGATTCTTAGAGCAGCCCCTGAGCAAACGGGGACACCTTCGACCAGACCTCGCGCCGGATGCAGGGGACTTGCAGGGTTGCGCAAAGCGGGGACGCAGAGCCCGCGCAAGCCAAGAAAACAATCGCAACTGAGCCAAAACACTCCCGACTCTAGCAGAACACCCACTCCAACACAAACACCTTGGCCCCCCTAGCAGACCACATCCTCTCGAACAGAAAGCCATCTCTTGCAACAAGAACCTGTCGATATGAACGAGACAGATCGTTTAATCTATAATCTAGATGTACTGGTACTTAGAGAAGAACCCTACTTCTGTCAGAAAATGCTCCCTGACAGCGGTGGCTTGTGCCCGTGAAACCCGCAACTCGAAGCTTGAATCTTCTAGAGTCTGCTTTCCGGGAAGTACCAAGCTGCCACTCGGCCGCTGCCTCTTGCAATGTGATACCTCCCGGTGTCAGAGCAGGTTACACGGCTAAAGGCTTTTCTGGAACTGCTCGAATTGGGTCGGCATGCCGGTGAAGCGTTGCGGGGGTGTAACCATTGGAGGATGAATCAGATTTGAAAACAGTTTGGAGCTGATGAGGGGAGGCATCATCAAATCGTCACAGCGTGCCATGGATCAAAGTGAAAGTTGTCTAGGAGTGTGTGATAAGCGAAAGTTCCGGTCATGTAAGTCTTAGTCAATCTGTGACAAAGTTGCTAGATGATGTGTGCTACATGCTGCTGGAGGACTCGACTATGTCAATGTCGGAGTTTGTCGAACCATCCGACACAGATTCTGCAAGTGTACGGCATCATGGCGGCGCGAGGCTGAAATCTTGACGGCTTCTGACCAGCTTGGAACTGGGGGCTTTGCGCCTGAGCCATCTAGAAAGTTGTGAAAGTCTGCGGCTTGCACTTTAAGTCAGGCAGCAGACGAGCCGATGCCTTCAAGACCAACTATCTGTGTAAGCATCGCCCCTTGCAAACACACAAGTATGCTTGCCCGGATCAAAACAACATGTTTCTTGTCCTTCGGGACTCGGGAAGCGCACAAGCTATAGGACTGACGGTCTGCCACTTGTGCGCTTCTCGTTTCATATCTTTCAAGTCAGCCAACTCGTACGCTAATCCCATCTAGGTCTGAGTCTTTGAATTCTGACTTATGCGCTGTGGTTATACGACAGCACTGGCTTTAGGTCGGGCACGCCACCGTGCCTTCTGCCATGTCCTTGCACCTCTGCCACTTGGAATTCCACCTGCAACCACTCAGCAGCATGTCGAAACATTTCAATCTTTTCCCTTAATTAACCAGGGCCTGTTACATGTCATTCGTACTTTACGGCGAAGCATTCACTAAGAACTCGCTCCAAACAAGAACTCAGGGGCTGGCAAGACTGAAATGTCCCAGCCCGGCGTATCCAACGTCCAGGTTTAACCAGATTTCTTAATGCTGTGGAACTCCTCCCTCCACCACCCTGGAGCGTTGGACGGAAGATGGAGGGCTGGCGAGGCTGTGCCCGCTTCCTATCGATAACTCACATACTATGTGTGCCTGCAGGTATGCCGTTGGTTAGTTCCGTTTGTGCTAAACGAATGTTCCCCCACACACTATACAAACGACTGTCGGGTGCCGCTGGCCTGAGAGACCCGCCCTTTGCAAAACCTTCCCGGGGTGTTCGAACCTGATTGAAACCCAATGCTGCAAAACTCCCCAATAAGCCTGACGGGACCCAAAGAAAGCAACGTCCTGTATTTGCAGACGCTTTCTATGGGTCCTACATGGTCTTGCTACAGCACAGCGACCTGAAGCCCATAGAAGAAAGGGTGTGAGTCAAGGGATCTGGCCCGAGTCTTGAGTTCTATCGCATCCTTTCGCTATAGCTGTCCATCGTCCCGTGACGGACAGCCTTAAACGCTCAGGGTTGCTTTGGGTTAATAAGGGCTGCTGACTCACGATTCGCAGTGGATATCTTGTGCTGAGGACTTGAAACCCGAAGTATCCCCAAAGCATTCAAAGCAGGCCCAAGCCCTAGAATCTTTCGATTCAGACATCGGGGTGCATGTTCGCAACGCTGTGTCGGTCCAAGCGACCCGCAAATCAGAGTGAGTCCTGCGACAGCAACGAGGCGAGGGCGTGGTGCGGGCATGTGGTGCGTATGCATGCATGTATGTATGGTATGCTGTTGTATTGTAACTGTATGATATAGTAATGTCTACTATCTACACCGTTCTCTCTGCCATGCATCCTCGATAGTCTCCCTGTATTGCACGGTTTTGTACTGTATTGAAACGAAGAAATGAAGACATATGCACACCTAATTACCAAGATGTATGTATGCATGTATGTACCAGTTTCCTAGATCTCCGACGTTCGAGAACTCGCTGAACAGCCCCACAGTCGCACCTCAAGAACTTTTTTTGCGACCTCAACGTGGGAGTCGGCCACACATCAAAACTCAAACATCTCAGATCTTCATCCTTCCGAACGGATGCACCGATCGCCGGAGGAGCACGCCAGCTAGGCTGGCGATCGCTCCACAAAAACATGAGAAGAGATATTCCCAGCGCGAAGCCGAGAGAGCCGGGGAAAAGTCTTCAATCGGATCCGAAAATGGATAGAGGAGGCCGACACGTCTTGGTTCGGATCCTCCGAAAGGGACTCGGGTTTGAGGATCTCGAGCGTAGCGTCATCAGCCGGGGCAGGATCGGCCTAAAGAGCTGCATATGCGAACGTTGAGCACCCGTATGATGGAATGGGTCCCCCTGCCGGATACAGTCGCTCGTCCCTGTTATCGACCACCAACAAAAAGTTGCGGGTGGGATCATCTGCCTCGACCACCACCTGCTCCACGAACTCGGACTTCTGCACCGCGAACGAGTTATGAGCAGCAGGAGCGGCCCGATCTCTTTTTTGGCGGCGACGATCGCGATCGTTGCCCCATCCTCCACTTCCCCAGTCGCCAGAGGCTGGACGCGGAGCCGGATTCGCGGGGGCCTGAGCCTGCCCTGGCGTGTAAAGCCGCCATTGACCAACATCTGCTGCTGGTGGCAATCTCCTGAGCAACCCGAACTGGGGATGTCGACTGAGCTTCTGGGCCGCGATAGGGACCGGTTGCAGGGAACGACTTTGCTGGTCAAGGATCTAATCTGCCCCCATGCCAACGACCGAAAATCCGGGCCGACCGGCTGATTGAAATGGCGACGGAAAGAAGATCGCGGCTGTTCTTACGATCTGTAAGCTGCCCTCCTAATCCTTACCTACCAGACCGATAATTAGGAGACAGAAGTACATACGTAGGTAGCTCGGTATGTATGTATGCATGTATGTACGTATGTAAGTATGTAATGTATGTATTATATGTAATGTCTGTGATGTCTGTGATGTATGTAATGTATGTAATGTATGTAATGTATGTAATGTATGTAATGTATGTAATGTGTGTAATGTGTGTAATGTGTGTAATGTGTGTAATGTGTGTAGTGTATGTAATGTGTGTCGTGTATGTAAAGTATGTAGTGTATGTAATGTATGTAATGTATGTAATGTATGTAATGTATGTAATGTATGTAATGTATGTATGTATGTCTGTATGTGGACAGTGTATGTAATGTATGTATTGTATTGTGTTGTATTGTATGTATGTATGTATGTATTTATGTGAGTATTGTATGTATGTAGTGCAAGTATGTATGTATGTATGCATGTATGTATGTATGTATGTATGTATGCATGTATGTATGTATGTGAGTATTGTATGTATGTAGTGCATGTATGTATGTATGTATGTATGTATGTATATTATATGCATGCATGCATGGATGGATGGATGAATGGATGTAGGTGTATGTGCATTCGCATTTTGGTGTGCTAGTCGAAAGTCTTGTTCATGTTACGTGTGTACTTACTTTCTGTTGGGTGGAATACACACTCACACGAGAAATCCTGGTACCAGATTCTGCGATACCATGCCTAATTAGTCTGCGCATGTATGTTCTGCTTTGTTCGCTGGTGTCATGCTATGCTATGCCATGTTGTGCTATATGTTGCAATAGCGCATTTCATTATCTATATTCTGCCGCTGTATACTATGCCATGTTGAGGTCTATATGGTCTATATGTCATCATATGCCAGGCGTTCATATTATACTCGAATCTGTTATGCCAAGTTTTACCAGGTTACATGCTAACACAGCAATTAAAAGCTGTAACTCATACACGCTGGGTTATCGTTATGGTCTAAACGAGTTCAAACCCCCGTCATATCATCTCGCAACAAGATGTTGAATTATATGGTGCCATGGTACACTACATTATCTTATGGTCTCTATATATATATATGTACATATGNNATATATATATATATATAAGTATGTACGTGTATGTACATGCATGTTCTGGTAAAGTATGGTGTAGCATGGCATACCGTATTATGCTATGGCATACCACATCATAACTTATTAGATTAGCTAGCCTGTAATATGCTAGTCTAGATCGCATATTTACATATCATAAAGTATGTCATATGTTTATTGGTTTTCACAAGGGACTCGACTGCTGCCCCTACTGCTCAGCTTGACCCACAAGACAGTACAAATAAGTCATATTACACTCTATATTCTTTATAGCATAAGAAAATGCAGCAAAGTATGGTATAGGTAGGGTATAGTATGGTTGAGTGAGGTATAGTACAGTACGTTGTCCGCACAATCTCATATCATTCCCTTGCACATCCCATATTGTGGTACATGAGGTTATGCGAGATGTCATTCTATTACGTGTTACTTTATAGCATGGCATAATATTGTGTCTTTTAACGTGCTGGATCATACTATGGTAGAATGAATATATAACGGTACCAACTTACACCTAACATAGATTACATCGCGCTTTACATTATATCACATGCTTGTCTTCTTCGATGTCCGTAAAGGAATCACCTGAAACTGACCAAGAAAGCCGGCCTTGCGATTGAACACAACTGTATACAAACACAGAAATAAGTGAAGTTATCTTTAGTAGATCGATGGACAGACTGGGCAGGGTTTAGCTCTGGGCTGCCTTGCCCACAAATCACATCCTGGAATCCAGAATTCAAGGCCGAACCCTGGAAATTCAAGATGCTAAACCCACGTTCTCTCTTCCCGACAGTATAGTCCGACCATCCTCCCAAGCAATCATGGCTCCCAATGTTCCAAACTGTTGATGCAACTAGTACATCTCGCTGATGTGGTGGTTCGGTAACTGCAGAAGTGGAATTCTAACTGCACTTTGCACTTTCGTTTGGGTGTGGTTCCGTTCCACCCCGCGCGAGCACTTGAGATGGACACCACAACTGAACTCTCAGCCAAAGCTTCAAGGATTGAATTTCGCACTTTCAACCCCTGAAGCCCAAAGCAGTGGTCCTTGCTCCACTTTCGTGTAGATGAGTCCCGTGTTCACCCGCATGAGAGGTATGCCGAATGGGGCGACTGTGAAGACCTGGCAGCCGTAACTATGACACTGTCAGCCGTATGCGCCACAAGAATAACAATCGCACTATGACAAAGTCGCCATCCTGATCGTGCTGGTGGCAACAGTAGCTAAGTGTAGTTCGTGTCTGTAACTTTTTGCAACAGGCCTCGTTGTCCAGAATCAGTGGGTTGGTTGACGTTTAGCTGCTCATGCTATTGGTGTTGCTGTTGGTCTTGGTCCTGCTCTTGCTGTTGCTAATGCTCTTGTTCTCGCTTCTGCTCGTGCTCCTGCTTTTGGTCTTTGCTCTTGCTCCCTCTCTTGCGCTGGACACCCAAGGCAGAGGATTGGCCCCAAGGTGTTGTTATTACTAGGGCGTGTTTAATGATAATACAACAGGGGCAGCCCCAGACTTGAAATATCTTGAAACGCAATGCGAAAATCACAGCACAAACCGCGAAAACGAAGCTTCGCAGCAACCTGTCGTTCTCCGCAAGCCGCACATGTGCAGCTTCAACATGCTGGGTGGACATGCCAGCGGATGGAGCTGCCAATGAATTGGACTCGGCCACATGGGGAGTTGCGAAGGGCAAGGAGTCTGTACTTACGACTCCCTCGGGATACGGTAGGACTCATAGCCTCTTGAACTTTGATCTTCAGATTTTCGGCTCCGTCCTGTGCAGACATTCGCGCACTAAATGCAGTTCTGTATCTGCTTACATGTGAATACAGCTATGTGTGAGAATGTGTTTGTCTGTGTCTCGGTTCATTTTTCACAAGGGACTCGACTGCCCCTACTGTCTCGATTCATGAGCCTCCTAGATCCCTAAACCTCAAAACTGGGCCCAAATCAGAACCTTGGCCGACTAACTACTGGATACCTCAAGACCTGGAGTCTTGAACCCTTTGCTTGCAGTACACACATTGGGTGAAAGGAACCTGCGCAGTGTAAGTTGCACATGCTCCACTTTTCGCTTGCTACAGTACCCGTCGAGGAGTGACAACTCTCAAAGTGAAACCAACATCTGGAAATTGTGAACTCGCGAGGCGATTAAAAGCTTGCTGAGATGTCATCCACAGTACTTTAGACCTACAGAAATGCACACCTGTGCGGAACCGCCGGGAGGCTAATCATGGCCATTCCGACCAGCATGTAGTACACAACGGAGATTTTGACACCTTACAAAAACGCTCGGATCATCTCTGGCTATGGAGATGCAAGCTAATTTGAACCACGAACGGTTTGACCCACGGCCCTGACCGTGCTCTCCTCAGGCAACGTGCTCAAGCGCAAAATTCATGATCAGGTTCAGAGAAAGCCATGGGACCAAACTGCTCGCCATGCTCCAACATGACCCGAAAAGCATCAGAGTTTTGTGTCAAGGTTCGGGCATTAGTAATGAAGGGTTTCGTAGTGACGCCATTGCAGCTGTCAACAACGAGGCCGTGCAAGACATTGTACCTGAACATTTTGTGACTACGATGACAACTGCCATCGGCGGGGTTGGGAGTGGCGCTGGCGGGGTTGGTGGCATCGTCCGTGGCGGCAGTGGTGTAGACGAAACTCATCTTGCTTTGACGTGGCTGCGACTGCAACGTTAGCTACCGACATACCATGAAACAGACAAGCACACTAAGGATCACGAGGATGCCGCGTCCTCATAGCCACTGTTTTTAGCTGCCACTACAGTGCTGCCAGCGTATATTGTCAACTAGCATGGCCTGTTTCAAGATCCTCGTGTCGGGTGGAACCCCAAATGTCAAGCCGAGCGCAGCCTTCTCTACGATAAATAAGATGTCAGAGTATAATCAAGGCTGACAGTCCTCTTAGCGACCTTACTATGATCCATCATGGTGCGCGCGCAAAGCCAACCAAACATCATCAAGCCAAGCCCGGAAACCCTGGGCCGAAAGTAGTTTTGGTTTGTTGATGTTAACCCAGGGCTTTAGGGGTCCTTGTCCTCCACCGGTAGTGACTGGAACGGTCTAGCTACACTGTTAGCTGCCAGTGCCGAACCCGATGTCAGAAAAGGAGCTTTGTGGTGTTTTGAGGCCCGGTAGCCTGAAACCAAAGTCTCAGACTGTAAATTATGCCACAAGCGCTTTACAACGAATCTCTCAGGGCATGGCCCATCGTACAGGCTGAGAATGAAAACTCTTGTGGATGAAAACCTCGGAAGTGATTCGCAAATTGGCGGGCCGGACTGGGGCTAGGGCCTTGGGCGTCTCAAGCGGTCCGTAGTCCAAAGCTGGCGACAGCTATGTCAGGTGTACAGGTAATGTACAGTAGCCATACTAAAAGACGCCGGCCGGTGAGGGCCATTCCTGGCTTCGTGATAGTTTGAGAATAACGTCCTGCAAACCGGGTCCTGGCAGAGCTTGGTCTATCCCTACTCGGGATGGTCTATCTGCTGCTTTCCCTCTGAGTTGTGTCTGTGCTCGCTTGCTGGCTGTGTCTCTGCGCACTTTTCGTGCTTCATGTGATTTTGCGTCGGGTTCACTGCGGGTATATATTTGGACTTTCCGTCCTCTTCGTATTCCTTTCCTGCTTGATGTGTGCTGTGTTTGTGTGGGTGTGTGTGTGAGCGCTGTTCGTGCTTGGTATTTGTTTTCTGTCGGGGATGAGGCAAACGTGGTGGCATGACTTTGTGTCTGTGTGTGATCGCCCTGCAACAATCCGACAATTTGCCCGAACCGTATCAGGATTCTCAGCATTCAGCAACCGGCTTCAGAAACAGCCCCCTACATTTCAGAACCGTTCCGGACCGTCAGAAACTACTATTGCGAACTAATCCCTTGGTTTCGAACGCAGGGTACGAAGGCTTGGCATCTAGGGAATCTAGGGGTTGCCTTCAGGTTTTCGGCACTCACACTCTTCAGGTTTAGGGTTGGATATTAGAAGTGACCGCATTCGCGATCATGCTATGTATTCTGGTCAACACTGAACGCCTGCGATCACATGTTTGCTGAGGAGCAGACACACGTGCGCCACGGCAAGCACACAGTGAAAGGCCAAGATATCAGCTAGGGCTGCTTGGGCCGAAATTCAGGAATTAGATTGAGCTTTGAAGTTGCAGGGCTGAGGCACGCCAGCAATTTGCGACAATTCGGGACTTTGGCAGTGGGAGCTTTGGGGTGCAGAAATACGCAATCCCTCAAGTACGCGAATGGCAAAGCAACAAAATCGGATTTCGAAACCCCGAACATAGTCGACCTGTATGTTCAAGTGTCTAAACCTTCAGGTGGTTGATACGGTGAGGAACCCACTGATCCGCCAGACTCTTCTGCACCAAGCAGCCAGACGGAGCAGCGTCGGATCACCTGTTCGAAACGAACTTGCACGGATTTGGGTAGATCGGTTAGCCCTGTTCCAACTCTTAGGATCCTTTTCCATCTCGCCAGATGATCTACCAGTATTACAAGTCCTCACGAGGCGAGCCGAAGAGGGGCTTTGGGGTGTAAAACCCTCGTTGATTCTCTAGGACTCTAGGGCTTTCAGAAGGAAAGACTTTACCAGGCTTGCCGAGGCTCCGGATCAAAGTCAGCCCGGAACCCTGGAACCCAAGCCTCCAGGTTCGGAGATCTCTTGTGTGCTCGTGGCCGTGTCGGAGGAGCCTTCCGACCTCTGAACGAGAGGCCGAGCGCAGGAAATCTCCGAATAACTCTCCTATGTCATTGCCACTCGGCAACGAAGCAATCATACCCTTGAGCCATCTCCCCGAACCAAGGCTTGTGTTCGTGAAGTAGCCTTAACAGCGTTGTCTGAAGTGCTAAATTCCTGTGTTCTTGTGATGCTTGTGACGCGGTTGGGCCTGGAAGCCGCGGTGCCAGGACTCTCAACCTGACAAACCGGACGAGATTCTTGGTTCGTGGACGGCCTTGGAGTTCAGGATTTGATGCTCCCCCTCATAGAGCGAAAGCGGACTGTGGGTTTAGTGGTGTTGTATAGTTCTGTTGTTTAATGCTGCAACAGAAGGGCATCCCTCTGGTCCATCCTCGAAAGGGTTAGGATATGTAGTGCTCCCCGAACGGCCTGGCAACTGCATGGCAAGGGCGGGGGACCTTGGCAACCACAATCCCGATGCTTTTTGCGATTGCAGCAGTGAAAACACATGTTGCAACCCTAGTCGTTCTTCCTGACATTGGCTTCAGTTGCAACAAAGTTGTTTGAACTGAAACATGAGGCTGTACAGGGCTGCAGCCTTTTTAAGGCAGCCTCCCGAAACGCAGCTCCAAATCCAAACTGTTCTCTCAGATCAGAGCCTTGATCACCAGAAGCACGTGATGCGCGTGTTTGGCATGGGTTATTGCCTCTAGGCTTATGACTCGTGACATCTTCCTATACTCACATTCAGTGGTGGCGGTCGAAGACTTCAAGCTTCATTTCCATCGTTTCAGACACTTTCATGATCGCAGCCTGACGGGGAGAAACCATAGAAGGCTTAACAAAGGCATATACGCTACATGCAGACAGCAGATCAGCAGGTTGATCGAACAAAAAGAAAGCTAGATAGATAAGTAGGTAGATAGGTAAGTAGTTAGGTAGCCGGGTAGATAGCTAGCTAGATAGATAGGTAGATAAACAAATCGGCAGTTAGTTAGATGGATAGACAGTGAGTTAGCTAGCCAGCTAATTAGTTAGGTAGTTAGTCAGTTATCAGTTAGTAAGTTAGTCAGTCAGCTATATAGTTCGTTAGTTAGTTAGGCAGGTAGGCAAGTAGTTGTTTGTTCTAGTGTCGTCTAATTCGGTTCAGCTAGGTTTAGTGAAGTCCAGTAAAGCTTAGCTAAGTTTAGTGTAAATTTGCACTCGTATTGGTTTAGTTAAGCAGGTAAGTTTGTTAGTTAGGTGGGTAGGTCGATTGGTTGGTTGGTTTACGTAATTACTTAGTTAGCTTGTTTTTCTGTTAGTTTAGTTGATTAGTAGGTTAGCTGGCTAGCTAGCTAGTTAGCTAGTTAATCAGCCAGTCAGTCTGTCAGGTAGTCTTAGTTACGGTTAGTTAGGTTTAGATAGGTGTGGTTCCGTTCAGCAAAGCTTCGCTACATTTAGCTAAGTATTGGTTCAGCTAAGCAAGTAAGTAAGATAGCTAGTCAGATAAGTCGGTCGGTTGGTGTGTTGTTTAGCTAGTATGTTTGTTAGCTGGTTAGTTGGTTAGTTAGCTAGGTATCTAGTTATCTAGTTAGTTTTGTTTTGACACCTTTTTCCGACTGCCGATGAGTTCATTAGATGGATATGTAGACCGATAAGTTGATATCTTCATGGCTCGCTCCAGGCGGGGACTGGAGAGCTTCTCAGAAGACGGCCTCGAACACATGAACTACCGGTACCTTCCTGCGAAACGAAGAACATGCCTGCTCGTCGGGAGAAAGCACATTGGAAGTACGACAAGGTATGAGGGCTTGAGGCCAGTCGAAGTGCGAAAGGCTAGATTCGGGTGTTTGGGGCTTGCGGGGGTCCTTAACAACTTAACTCTGTCACTCACTGCATGAAAGCCCGCCTATGCATAGCGAGCGCACAATGCAAAACTCTCACACCTGATCTTGAAAACATAACACGCCGACATCGTACTCTTCTTCGTCTTGCTCCTCTTCGCACCACTATGATGTAGAACATAGTAAATACTATACTGAACTTGGGACCCTAGCAAAAGTTGTAAATTTTAGCTGTTTCTTAGGGGTTATAGTAACCAAGAATATAAGACTTATTTCTAGGTACCCCTAAGAATTGGCCTTGACAACCATTCAAGGACTGTTTGGAGTAACCCCAGCTCGACAATCCTGGCCTCAGTCCCAAGTGCAGCAAACCGAAGCCGAGACCAAAACTTTCAATCCTAAGCCTAGCAAAGAAGCTGCAACAGTACCGTTAGCCTCGATAATTGGTAGGGGATCGAAGGTCGGTATCAGTATTAGCCCGTTTCAACTCACTTCAGCCACAGCACCCGAAATCTGCAGGCGAAAAGCTGTCCAGAAACATATGCCAGCATCATGACCGAAATCCTGTAATTCTTCAACACTCAGAAGCAACTTGGGTAGAAGAGTAGCGCCTGGTTTCCCAACTCTCCCTTGAAATTGTGGATGGACCAGAGAGTCACCAGCTTACCATCTGCAAAGAACTCCTCGGTTCAGGGTCGATTGTGCCCAGGGTTCAGCGCCCAGGATTGCAAAGGCCGCGACTTCCATATTCGAAGCCTAGTTTGAGGGTTTGGTGGTTGCGGGGTGATGAACGAAGGTTTGGAATGGAGTCTATGGAGAGGTACATCTGCACCAGAATCCCTGCCCAGGAGCATACCCTTCATGAATAACTTGGTGGCTTCGGACGATCAGATCCAAGCCCATCTTCTCGACAAACTGCTGCACCACGTCCGCTCCAAAGCAAAAGGACACACCCCGGTCGTTCTCAGCCCAACCAGGGTGAGGCTGAGGGTCGGACCACATGAGATCACAAAGCAGACCTTCCTCCGGCACCATCCTGGGACGCTGCAGTTGACGAATACAGTCGAAGTCCTGCAGCTCCTTAGAGAGCCCGCCGCTGACGCAAAAAATCTTCTCTCGGATCAAAGCGCCCACCGGGAGGCAGTTGAAGACCTCTACGAAAGCTTTCCAAAGTCGAACGTTCGCACGCCGTTTGCACTCATCATAGAAGCCATAGATCCTGGTCATCGCTGCATCTTCGTGGTTGCTTCTGAGAAGCTTCAAGCTGTCCGGATACTGCATCTTGCGCAGAAGCAGAAGCGCTATGGTGTCAAGGCTCCTGGCAGGACAAGGGCTTGTTCCCTAGCACTGGAGACCCAAGGCTCCATGAACCGCCCCGGCGTTTGCAACTGTACCTTGTTGTCAAGCACTCCGGTTCCCGAATCCCGAGCCAGATTCCAGGACTCCTCCTCCCCCTGTCGACATAGCCACCCAGGAACAAATAACGGCTGTCAGGCAGCTCACCGAATCGTTGAAAGAGGTTCAGGAGCTGATCATAGTAGCCATGCATGTTGCCCACAATAACCTTGAAATTGTTCAGTGGTTCAGCAAGACAAAAACACTTCCGAGATGCGAATGTGTTCTACAGTGAACTTGTGGGTCTGTGAGGCTTTTCTTGAACATGTTCAAGCAGCCCAAGGGGGCTCAAGCTCCAGCAGCATTGGCTCTGCCAGAAAGATCTCCTTGCAGCGGCAGCACAGCAGGAGCAATTGGGAAGCGTACTCCTCTGGAATGGCCTTGGCTTCTTCCGGCGATACTCTGATGAATGTGGCTCGGCTCTCGGCACGTATTGGGTTTTTTATGGTACCGACAACGGAAAAGAGCGCATGCTCAAGTACTCTCCAAACCACCTTGTCCGAAGCATACCTTCTCAAGAAGTAGTCCAGACAGCCATCAACATCCGGGAGCGCGTGGGTCATTGTCACAAGCACAGCTTCATCTGCAGTCCATCCCAGGCTGCTGCAAGTCTGCTTGTCCTCCAGCCTAGTGGTGGTCTGTGGCGACAACTACACGTGCCCAAACCTGGAAACAACTAAGAACACGGGCCTCCCGAATGCGGACCAAGAAGCACTGCACTGCCGCTGGAGAGCACCTGCAAATTTTAAAGCCCATAGCCGTGAGACCCTTACCTGAGCGTCGAAAGATCTAAGCCCGAAGCCCCCTTCGCCAGGAAGGATCAGGCGACAACCATTGTTAAAAAAACAGAAACCAACAACACAACTAGCCACTTTTACGACGCCCCACCTGCACGCGGGCATCCGGACCGCCAGCTGTGGCGATGTGGTTCTTGAGCCCCCTGATCCTTAGGTCTAGTACCGGTTTGGTTTTCGGGTATGGGATTGATTGCCACCTGCCTGGCTGGCCATTGGTATTTGGCGGTCAGGGGTTTCAGGATTCACAAAGATTTCACGCAACCCTAGTACAACTTAGGGCGGGGCATGGCGGGCCATTTAGGCTCCTAGAGTTGCAGTTTCAGTGTCAGACTTGGGCATGCAAGCCCTCCCAAACCGGAAACCCACACTCCGGAACCCCAGCACTCTGCAGGAAAGGTAGGCACTAGCCACTGATGTTCGCGTCATCACACCAGAAGAACAGGTCATTATAACATACTATATTATAGCATATTATCGTATATTAGGTTAGATTAGACTATCTTATATTATAGGCCTCTCAAGTTCCAGGATGCTCTGACCGAAAGCTTCAGGGTCTCACGGCTAATATAGGGAGCGGTCGGTTACTGCCGTCAGTTTGCCCTAAAGAACCTTCCTGCTGCATAGCGTTGCATTTTTTCGCCTAAGCCTACATATCGAAAGGGGCAGATCCAAATCTATCCAAATAGCAAACCATTGCGGCCACGACCTTAACAAGAACGCTGAACACGTTTCGAAAACAACCTATAATGACAAGGGTCGTCGTGTCCGCATGCACGAGGAGGCTTGCCACCTTGTCGTTTAGAGATTCATAGCTGTGCCGGTAGTCTGGCACAAAGACAGTCTAATGCCAGCAGCATTTTTCAATTCAAGACTCAGTCGTCTGAGTCTGAGCTGGCCGCGACGTAGGTCGGCTACAATGCGCAACCCTTAAATCCCGAACAACAGCAGCTTGCTTCCGGGCAGAGTTCAGGACCTCCACACCTGTTTTAAAAAAGGAGGGCTTTCGGGGCCTGTAGAAAAATGGATGCGGGTAGCTCACAACCTTGCAATGTCCTTACTCTTCTCTCTCTCCGTCTTCCTGTCGGGCCATAGAGGGCTGGTTCAACGACCCAGGCCGCCGGCCTACAGGAGGGCGCGAAAGCTGAAACATGAAACACATGGCCAACTTTCATGCGGACATCGTTTCCCGGTTTGCGGACACGCAGGCTGTCAGGTCGGTTGTTCACGTGAAGCAAGTCAAGAAATCTAGATTAAAATCGAAATACCTGCACCACGAACAAGGTATTTGCAAAGCGCGAGCGAGTCAGCTTGCTTCCGCTCTTTATTTCTGTCTTTCTTTCTTGTTTCGTTCTCTCTCTCTCTCTCTTTCGCTCGCCCCCCTTTCACTCCCGAGGTGGCCACAAGCTCCACATTCCATGTGTGACGGCAGGAACTAGTAACTAGAAGCCTGTAGGACGAAAATGAAAAGGTCGCGGTACTCCCTTAAAAGTTGGACATGGGCCACATGGGGAGCCGCGCCTCGCGGCCTGCCAGGCTCAAGACAAGCACCCGGACGTCGCCCAGAGAGCTGGGAACCGAGCCGGCCTCCAGCTCCATGTTGCGCTTGTAATCCCGGTACACCAAATTCATCCAAATTCAAGGGCTATGATGCGGGTTTCGAATTTTGGGGTATCTGTCATGATCCTTGCTGGGTTTACGGTTTACGGGGCCGAGCCTCCTGAACCTTCTCCTCGAGAAGGCTGCTTGGGGAATCGGGGGCATCGTCTCCGACAGCTTTCTCCGGCCGATCCGGCGCCGAGGCCATGGGCATGTGTGCCACGCGCTGTCGCTCTGCAGACCAGCTCTTAGAGCCCTTTGCCGGAAGGTAAGCAATGCAAGTCCATGAAGAAAGTCAAGATTGGTTGAACAAAGTTGACACGAGCTCCCTTGTCAGTCAGCCATGAAATCTGTCATGCCACACGCACTTTGAACTCAGAGCATCCCGTAATTGGCCTACCGCAGGGAGGGCTAGGGCTAGGGCTCAGGGCAGGGTCTCTCTTCAACCAGCCCGGATTCTGCCCCCCAAGCCCTGAGCAACTTGAACCTATAAGCCTTCTCAAACGGAGAAGGATGCACTTTCCTGAAAATCCAAGGCTTCAGCTCAGAGCTTCCAAGGTCTTATCCAAGCATCCCAGGACCGAACTCTCAGGTATGTCGGCGAGTAGCCTTGTCCTTCCTCTGAGTTCTTCTCTCACCCTCGCAACCCTTGACTTATGGGAAGATCTGTGTTCGGGGTCATGACCTTAACTGCCGGCTACCATCATCTGACAGAGAACACTCGGGCTGACTGTGCAGCCTGTCAGCTTGTCTGGGTTTGATGGCCCATAGTAAACCCATCTCACTCCAAACGCTATTGTTTCACAAGAAACTCGGGTGACCTTGGAAAGCTCGACACACACACACACATGTTGATCCCCAAAGCCAAACGCAAGAGAGGCAGCGATGTTGTCCAGACCAACTAAACTGAAGAATGCTTCGGCCGGCTGAGTAGAGGCCTAGTAGATAGTGCTTCCGGATGCCTGGTTGAATATAGTCTGATACTCTCCTGCATACTGCACCCAGACACTCCTAGCCCCCAAGCCTGCAGACTTGATGCACTCGTCCGACAATGCTTAGCAGTATCAGACTGCAGCCTGAAAAACCTGTTTAAAAGATCCTTCGGCTACTCGACCATGCTTGAAAGCCCTTGCGCACTTCAGCGGATAGAGTCTAGAGAATGTCTATGAAACTACTTCGAAGCTTCTGGTGACTGTTTTGACAAAATTCGAGTGCGATGGTGTGGCTTTGTCCAGCCACGCCAGAACTTGCTGAGCTGAGCTTGTCAAACACCTGAAGGGTGGGGCAATGAGATTCAGCTCTGAGTGCTCGGTGTCCGATTTTCTACTGATACGTCAGCAGCACGCATCAAAGCGCACTTTTCCTTCTCTCTCTCTCTCTCTTCCTACCTTCAGAGAGGAAAAATATTCATGTAGAACTCTATGTGTATATATATATATATATATGTATATATACATATATATATATATATATGTGTGTGTGTGTGTGTGTATGTGTATGTTTAGGACTACTTTATCTATTCTGTGGCTCCACCAAGATCCACACACGCACACACCCCTCTCTTCCACTCGCAACTATGCTGCGATGTGTCGCGTTCCCGACTACTCCACGCACCGAAAATGCTGCAGATACCAGTGACACATGCTTTCCCCGAGAACTGCTTCTTCGCCTTGATCCAGCGTCTGGTGACAGGAAAGAGTAGAAACATATAGATGGACGGACATGAGTTCTGGTTGGGAACACGAAACAAAGGATTCAGGTGGCGAAGAGCTCAGGCAGCTCCTGCATGCCACCGGTGTGTCCAATGTGGCTTGGGATTGCTGACGTGTAAGGACAATGAAACATGTTTGAATTTGCAAGGCCTGCTGGAGTGCTGCATTGCGCCTGAATTTGGCAAGCAACATTCGGAGACAGGACAGCATGTTTTATCCCTTATGTGCAGTACTGCCGCAAAACCTTGCGCCAAAAGCCAACGGGGCCCAAGGCCTCTGGAGAATAGATTGCGTTTAACTTTTTCCATTTTGGCTTCCAATCCCCAAGAGTGGCCCAAGAGTTAGGAACAGCACAGCACTCTGGAAGTCCCAGTCCCAGAGCTCTCAAGTGTTCTACAAGTCTTTTCCGCTCTGTTTGCGCCAGAGCTTGGCTTTACGTTTCAAAACGTAGAGCAAATTGTTCGTTTCGTGCCCAGTTTTTCCATGATTTCGCTAAGTCGGAGGACCTCTCTGTCTTGCCAATAAGACTATCCGGGCTCTGCATTGCTGCCGAAGATGTACAGAAGAATTTATATGTCATGTTCAACACGAGTAAAGAGGGGCTCCCTTTGGCATCGCAGCTTGCCTCATGCCCAGAATGAAGCAAGGTCCCTTAATTCACAAGAGCTGGTGCAGAAAGTCTTGTGTTGCAGTGTAAGATGTAGAGGCTACTTTCTGTGTGAATTTGATTCTGATTTTTTTTCATGGCGCTTCTCGCTCTCCCATCAAGAAGCACAAAGGTTCTCCCGCTTCCCCTCAAGATTCTTTTAGAAGCCATCTTGTCTCGAACAAGGGCATGGAACGGCCTCTCTTAGGTGTGTGTTGTTCGGGGATGGAGACGTTGCTGTTGAAAGACGGAGGAAGTACTAAGAACATGTGGCCGGTGGATCTTAGAGCCATGTATGTGTATTTATACACATATATGTATCTATGATATACACCAAAAAACATAAAACAATCAATCAGAATGTATGTACATATATGTATATGTACAGATGTACGTATATATCTATATATACACATTCATATAGACACACATACATCTTTACACCCGTCTTTCTCTGGCCCTCTAGAGTACATATACATATATATATATATGTATCTCTCTCTCTCTCTGTGCATTTGTGCAGGTATATACATAAATACACACATGCACATCTTTACACCCATCTTTCTCTGGCTTTCTCTAGAATACCAGCATCGGTCCAAATAAAGCTAAGGTGTTTTGCACAAACAGACCTGGGCTGTGATGTCGAGGTTGTCGGCAACTTTCATGACTGCAGCCAGGTGATACCGCTGGTCATCCGTATCATCCCAGTCCCAATCTGCAATGCTCCAGAGAGTCAAAAGCTTGTGGTCGGCAAAGATTGCCTTAAGGCAGGAGGTGTGGACCGTAACAGGCCCCAAGTGGCGACCCCCTTCAGCCCGCATCACTCATTGGAGCAGAATGACTTTTCCTACAGTTAAGCGGTTTACAGCTTGCAGGTACGACAAAGAATACAGTGTTGCAGCCTACTAGGCAAGCAGCGTAGCCATCGCCAACAGGTTGGTTGCTCCGAACAATCAGGTCCAGCCCCAGCTCTGCAGCGAACTTCTGCACCACATCTTCACCAAACGTACACGCAATGTCTAACGGAGCCTTTTCCCAGCCGCTCCCAGTCTCTGGCCGAGCAAACAGCAAGTCACAAAGAAGGCCTTCCTCAGGAACACGGCACGGCCGTTCCAACTCTCCAATTCGATCGAAACTGGTGAGATGCGGCGAGAGGCCGCTGCTGACACAGAAGATCTTCTCGCGAATCACAGCACACACCGGCATGCAGCTAAACACATCCACGAAGGCTTTCCAAAGCTTAATGTTGAATCGTCGGTGGCATTCGTCGTAGAAGCCATAAATCCGGCTCGTGGATGCATCCTCGTCTCGGCCCCGTAGCAAGAATAAATTCTCCGGAAATTGAGCCTTGTACACGAAAAGCAATGCCATAGTGTCGATGCTCCGTGGTGGACCCTTGCCTACATAACCACCTAGAAACAAGTAGCGCGTGTCAGGAAGGCTTCCACATCTCTCAAGCAGCTTTACCAGCTGATCGAAATGGCCATGCATATTGCCAACAACACACAGTGGCGGCTCGAGTTTCAGCAGCATTGGCTCCGACAGAAAGATTTCTTTGCAGTGGCAGCACAAGATGTTGAGATCAATCTCCAGCAGGTTCGCAGGCCGTCTCAGACATTTTGGGTGCATGAGACTGGCCAAGAGTTTCTCCAGATCTGGCAGTACACGCGTCATGGTCACGGTAACCGGTTCAGCAGAAGTCCATCCCAACCTGAGCCACAAATGCTCACGACTATTCCCAGTCAAAGCTACGTTACGCGTCATCGCCTGCATGCTCAACGACCTCGCGCGCCGCTAAAGCTCTCAAAATTGAAGTCGGGCACTGCTGGCAAGAGGTCGCATCCTTCAGGACGCAGCTGCCGAAGGACAGTTGCTGGAGGCGAGCATGCGGACCACCCGCGGCTGCCACCAGATACTTAAGGTCACGCACTGTGCTCCCGTCTGCTAGGGTACATGACAGCACCTGGGAAGGCTTCTACTTTGAGGTGGGCTGGCTTGTGATACTAAGAACTGAATTTGTGTTCTTGCTGTTGTGGTTGTTGCTTGTTCGTATTGCTGTCGTCGGGAGAGGTGACGTGCTGTTGCTTGGAACATATTGCCTTTACTTTCGTTATGGGAGCACTTTTGGAGGGCGGTGGCTGGCATGGCATACACCTCGTCTGTTTCGACGGGAAATTACATCAAACGGCTGGTTACACCACCGCATGTATAGACTTTGAAAGCAAACTGTCCTGGTCTCACGACCCGGGAATGCACCTCACGGCCCGCGAGGTTCAGAACCGTCACGCGTATTTCCTCCGGCTTCGCCACCTCCAGAGGTGCCAATGGCCGGTGTCCGGTCTGCTGTGCCTCGGAGCTGCCTGCGCCCATGGCAGGCCTTGGCCTTCGCAATCCTTCGCAGGTTTGCAGTTGCAAAACACGGAGCTTCGGAGCCCCTTGTGATCGTCTCGAAGAGTATGGCGAGAGGGATGATTTGGGCAACTGCCACAAATTAAAAGTGTGTGTTTCTTAAGGGGTCAGGGCAATGCCACACACCTCGTAATAACCATGCTTGTGCAGGGATCGAGGGTGCTTTCGCTGAGGCTTCTTCGGAACGGCTGCAGTCTGTCTACACGAATTTTTGTTGTGGACGCGATCTAGGACACCTAATCTGAAGTGGTGTCATGAGTACCCCTCCAACTCTGTACCCGTACCCTTCGCTGAGGAAAGATCTTTATTGCACACATCATCGAGAAGGATGCTTTCACTAGATATCTGAGAACATGGAAGAACCACAGGGTTGATAGATCGCCCCTCGGCAACAGCCGCCACATGACAATCTTCGGCCCGAAAATTAAAACTCAACCAAGGGTTAACAGGATTACGAGCCCCGCAAACTCACTCTCCTAAAGCTCTTAGCGCATAATGATACTAATCAAAATACTAATAATACTTGCTAGTGCTAATACTACCAACAGTAAGACAAACTAATTGGAAGTTTCCTTAGGCCGATATGGGAAGAGAGAGCTGCCTTTCAGCAAGGGCTGTAGAATGAATTCTCGGGGATTGTTCTCAGGCACGTGTTCCCCAAAGGGGGCAGTCATCTGTCGTATGTGACAGAATTCAGAACACGCCCCTGCCTCCAGATCAGCTCCAGAGCTTAAGTTGACATGTAATGAGCCTATCGCGAGCTTTTGCTTAGTGACTTCGTGCCTCCTTTGTGCATGCTTTTTGTCGGAGGGTGTGGCGGGTGAGGTGGGGCTTTAAATATTTAGGGATTTCTGCCCATGAAGCCCTACCCAGAGGCGTCGTCTACATTCATGTTGCATTTGAGGTCGCTTGCCAACATCAGCCCAGGACACGACTCCCGGGATTGGATGAAAGAACTCAAGTTTTACAACCCTGCTGAACCCTGCAATCCAGATGGGTGATGAGATGACGCTTACAAGCCTTCACAAGTCCTTGTCAAACGCCTCTGAAGGCGGAAGGTGTTCTGCTAACAGTTCGAGGGCTTGGGCTTCGAGGGGAGGTTCCACCTCACCGGCATGAGGCCATACGTAGGCCGTACGATGTAGCCAGGTACCCTTGTCAAATTTCCTGGCGAGTACAGTGCACGCACTCAACTGCGTGTTTTTCTCCTCGGGCGGTGCGACCAGCTCAGTTTGCTTCAGCGCTTGGCCCTGTGTCGGTCAACCATCGCTGGCGCCAGTTCTCCTGGAAAGTCTAAGTTCCAGAAACATTTAGCTGCGATTTTGTGTTGGCCGGCGGCTTGTGGCTCGTTTTAGTAGCAGTAGTAGTAGTAGTAGTAGTAGTAGTAGTAGTAGTAGTAATAGTAGTAGTCGTAGTAGTAGTAGTAGTAGTAGTAGTAGTACTTGCACTTGCACACGCAGCGAAAATCCAGTTCGCTC